CAGTAAAGATCCGTCCGACGTATTCAAAGACCCGATTCATGACGCGTCGGTTCCGATGAGCACTTTTCACGTTCTTTTCGTAGTCGCAAAATTGCGAAGCCAAGTTTGGTGGGCCCGGTTTGTAGTCCTAACAGCAGAATGCGCGTGGGCGAATCAAGGCTGCCTTTCGCAAATGTAGTCCTTGAACCAGACAATCTTTTGCCTAGTCATTTGAGCCCTGTTTTCCCGTGCGAACAGTCCAGTCTTGTCCGGATCGACTTGCGTCAGCAGCCCAGCGAAATCTCATTGCTGACGGCATTCTTTTCGGCATGTCCAGTCGATATGCATTGTTATGCCTTTTTGGGCGCATACAGGCTTGTAAACGCAGTGTGGCAGATAATCGTAGTTGCATGGTGAGTCAAGAGCTAGAATTGGATACGCTAGGCCGAGTGAGCACGGACAAAGCGACGCCAGTGACATGAGCCTTCACGTACCTTCTCAGCGGTCTGAAGATTGCTGAAGGAAGAGTGCTCGTTGTGCTTGTTTTTTCAGACTGTCAAAGAGACGAACAGTCCTGCCGAAGGATGTAATGAGAGCAATAAGAGCAGTTTATTTTGGGTTAGGGTCATTATTCAAAGCCTGTAGCATTCATTCTAGCCCTGAACTCACCAGCTTCACCAAATGTCTGCCAGTCAGTATCAAGCTCAGGTAGGAGAAGGGACAAGACAGGAAAAGACAGCGGCAAAGACCGAGAGGTGAAGGGAAAGAGAAACATAGACAGGACCATGATCACTGGGGTGAGCCGCTGATTGAGGCAAGGTTACTACTGTAGTGCACAATGTACTTAGATTTTTCCGCAAACAGCTTTGAAATTGATCGCCAGCGTTGTATAAAACACATGTTGCTCACTATTTCGAAGGGCGTAAATTTCTACACTCTAGAGCGATGCGCGCCGAGCATCAAGCCTCCACAGACCCTAGTTCTCCGATTCGGGATCACTTACTTGTGCCCCAACCGACTGGAGATAGATGAGAGTTCTCGTGCTGGCAAGACTTATGAGCAGATCAGATTAGCCAAAATGAAATGGTAGAAACGGAGTGGAGACACCTGTCGTGGTCGTGGTCGTTGTCGGTGTAGTGTTTGATCATACTCCTGCCCGTTTCCCTCTCCCTCAAGCCATGCAGCTCTCACGTCGCGAGAATTTCACGATGCATCTCCGTTCGTGCGCTTCTTCTCTTTTGCGGACATGAGCTCCTTTCCTCAGTTGCCAGGTCAGACTGCGCTCTAGTATGGTCCTGAGGCTTGGCACCACCACTCCTGCGGATTGGCAAAGCGTTTCTTGGCCAACATTTTGAGGTTTGTACGTTGAATATTTGAGCGCGTTAATTTGCGTCGTATCACTTCGTCTTACGCGTGGCGGGACTCTAGCGTTCTGGTGTAGGGAGAGAAGCGACATGATCGTGCCCTTGGTCGCAATTTAGGAATGATGCGTCCAGCCACGATCCGCGCTACCTTGGGTGGAAAGCCCTGCCCGAGTGGGGATGACTGAAATGGTATCGCGTATTTTACATTGCGTGTGCACCACTCCAACTTGCGCAGTGTCTCCTTCACGTGTAGTTCAAAGTAATGACACTTTACGTTCTTCGCGCTCCCCTTGACTCCTCCCTTCCCCGAGTTGTTCGAGCTGCATCTCTGCATATTGCGGACACGCGGCATTGGTCTCCTTGACTACTTCCATGCTGGCTGGATCATTCACATGTTTCCGAGTCTATTCGGGGCAGCGAACTTGAAGTGCCCAGCCTCACTAGCTCCGATTTGATGAACACACCTGTTGCACCTGCTATACAGCTACGTGTTCGCATCTGGTCAGTACGCAGACAAAGCAACATCGAGGCTCCGAAATTCTAGCTATTACAAACATTTTCAAAGGTACTATTCCTCTTTCAAGTGGAAGACGCCAGCTGAGATCTCTGGGATGTGTGAAGCATAAGAGGCAGTCGCAGGTATGTTGGCAAGGAATGTTTGCTGCATGAGACAGCGCTCGCTTCAAGAATGTACTGAGGGGACAAGTGGTTGTGCGGAGCCGAGTGGTAAAAGGGGACACAATGACACGAGAGGGGTCTCCAGAAGGATCAAGCAAAACCTGCGACTATTTGGATAGAGTCCACCGACCAGTACTGTACGGCAACTTCAATGACACTAGTCACCATCATAGCAGGTTTCGCTCCTTTTCAGGGAGTGCCAACCAATTTGAGACGGATAATGACCTTGAAGAGGCAATGCGACCTGCTTCCGTCCCTTTTCCACCTCCACTATTTTGTCTTCCGGCATTGAGCCATCGCTCAAAAGCAAAAGCCAACAGTTTTACAGCAGATGAGCAAGCAAGTACAAGGCGAGCCATGAGGTCTGTGAGGTCGCACTCTCACGACGTCTTTCAGCGGATGCTCTGGTGATGATCACTTTAGTCACCATCCAAAATACAGCAAAGAAACCATTAATCTCGCTGTAAATGCTCGCGCCAGCCAACGCGAATATGTATGCCGTGCTTTTGCCGCCGAGACGCTCTCGTACAACCGTCGGTGGCCCTTAAAAGCAGCTAAATGGCCTCAGTCTACCCATAGCACTCGCATCGAGTGGACGGTGACCCTGAAATATGTGCAGGGTGATGGAACAACAGATAGGTGACATGTGAAAGCCGAATCATGCGTTAAGGAAAAAAGAGCTAGCGCCTGAGGCGTGTCCAATTTACTCATTTCTTTCGAATTTTCCAATCTAACACAATCTACAGCATTGACAGTGAAGAGCTCAAATGCTCGCGCTGCAAATGCTACTTCAGGGCTGCACCTAGCTGTCTTCGTTTTGGTTTGCTTCTCTGGTTTCTGAATGGTCACGATCATCACCTTGCCAGCTTCCGGCAGAGCTCTTGGAGCTTTCTCGTGCCGCAACCGATCGTAACGGAGACCGCACGTCTCTGGCTTGCTGCCAGCGCGAGTGGGTCCGGGGTCGGACAGGCACAAAGCGAATCACATTAGACCTTGTTTCCGTCTCTGGGCCAAGCGAAGCTCTCTACTACTCCAAAGGCGGATTTGAGCAGCACTAAAAATTTGTCGCCCTGTCCGAGCAAAGGTGTCACTTAGTCCTTTGACACGGAACAGTGAGAACATTCATTGAAGACACTGTCAGATCGTCTGCATGGACAATGCTTTGGACTGAAAAGATTTCCGGTTTCTCGTGATTTCTACTGCTCGATTCGCATACGTGCGAAACCTTCATTTTCCCGCGGATAAGCGTACGTGGCCTCAGACCTTGCCGCTACTTCGCATGCCACCGCAAGCTGTCAAGACTTTCGCACGATTGTTTTGGCGTCGACTTGTGTGCTTGTCTTTTACTTTCTCATTTTTTGTTTTTCTTGTTTTTTTTTTACTGGCATACTCGGGTCGCCCGTTGCAAAGCGTCGCTGCCCACAAGCGCCGGTTTATCTGAATCCTTGGCGTTTGTGCCAGATAGTCGCGACATGTGCCACAAAAAGGTCTTTCGCAACTGAGCGATAAAGAATTCTTCCAGCTCCTTTGATGCAAGGCTTCTTCTGTCCATTCGCAATTCCAAAAATAAGTCATTGCTTCGCCAGCCTTTCGTGGTGTGCATGACGTGCATGTAAACTTTGCGTCGCGTCTTTGAGTTCCGTTGACTGACACCGTCTGACCATCTATTCTCAATTGTCTCTCGCGATGTTGCAGCGCTATCGTTCTACATGCCGGGAGTCCTCTGGGGTGAGATCAAGTGCTTCGGCGCGATACAGCACCGGTACTGTCTTGGACAGAAGTGGGTCCTCACAAGGATTTGTACCGTCAGGGGCGCACGCATTCTCAGAGAAGACTACCAAAAGACAATGTCGGCGAAAGATGACACGCGACCTTTGCCCGTGAATATTCCGTGACGATCGTCATTGCAGTGATGGTGAAGAGCAGACATGTGCGCGCCTGCGAGCGTAGGCTCAGCATGCTGGTGTGTGCGAGCCGTCAATTCACAAAGGCAGCGCTCCAGGGTTGCGCTCTGCGTACGTCATCGTGCCTGCGCCCTTGTTTCCTTGATCATTGTTGCGTCAAGCAAGGGAGAGAAGCGTGACATTCAAAAGCAGGCACTGGGTACATGTGCATTCAAGAAGACCATCCGCGTCTCGTCACCATCTGTGTGCCCTCCGCATTGGTCTTTGCGAGTGCAAAAGGGTCTCGAGGGAATCAGCGCCCGCATGCGCTGACGCGCGCGCGCGCGTGCGTAATCCGGTAGAGTCTGTTCGGCCCTGATCACCACCACCACCACAGCCACCAAGAAAAAGTGATGAAGTTCGGCAGCACCTGGTGAAATCGTGAGGTGCATCATACTATCCCAGAGAGGTGCTGACCTGATGCGCCAACTGTTGTCGCGGTGGCTGGTAGCTCATCCCGCAGGAAAGCTAGTCGACCTCTTTTTTCCACTTCTTCAAATGCCTCACTGGCAACTGGCCTGCGATTGATGATCTTGAAGTGAGCTGCAAGCTCATCTGGGCGCTGGGGGGTGTACACGGACTTGAACATAGTATCGTGCATCACCACGGCCCTGTAGCAGCCCTGACGGAGGAAATTCCTCACAACCTCAGAGTTGCCAGAAGGGAGAGTCTCCACGGGACTGACTGTACACTCGATCATGGATCCGAGATTGAAGAATGCCCGGTCATCTTGAACTTGGGCGGCACTCAAGAAGGTTTCTTCCTCGTCGTAGTCCAATGTTGCAACAACATTGTGAGACTCATTCCATGGCTGGTGAGGGGTGTGCTCTGCACCAGGGCTAACCCGGTGCGAGCTGGCCAAGTAGCCAGAGCTCAGCGGAAGAACATAATGGTTGCCATTGACGAACTTTTCTGTCTTCTTTCCAGCGATCTGTGGAATAAGCTGGATCAAATTGGCCATGACAGTTGGACCCACAAGTGTGGTAACAACGTTCATGGACAATTGCCCTCCCACCTCTCGAGTGATCTCCACCGGGCGCTCAGAGATGGGCGTACGCTCTGGTGTTGACTGGAGTGATCCCGCCAAGAAAGGGGAGCCACTGTTGTTCAAGACTCCTCCACGTGCTGCCGATAGTAGAGGGCTTCCCATCATAGACCAGGGATGACAGTGAGCATGTGCACCCACTTATATTTGACCTGTTTGGTCAGACCATCTCCCAAGATCCCCTGAAACTGGAAGATCTGCTTGGACTGGAGCGCTGAGGGCCCGCAGAGCTGTGGACGCAGTGGACACGTGTCACTGGGTGCACAAGGGCCAACCAGTAAACATTGCTGAGGGGCAAGATCTCCCCGGTCCAGCTCCAGCGTGCTCACAGCTGTACTTGTGGTCTCGCCACCTGTGTGATAGACTCGAGTGCCGGCTGGACAAGAGACCGTTGGCGCTGTCGACATTGCGGTCGTGAGCATGTCCGGCGGAGCAAGGGGGTAAGACCAAAGGAGTACTGGAAAACCACTTGTGGTCAACCACTTTGCAAAGTCCCGGTGTTCTTTGGAAGCTGCATTACCATAGAGGTAGATGCAAGGTGAGCCAAGTCGAGCAGACACTGGGTTGTAGGTGACAGGCAGAACAGCCGCCTGGACGCATGCCAAATGTCGTAGCTCAAAAGCTGAGATGGTCTTCGCAATGCCTTCCTCGCCAAACCAAGTCAGGACGTCCGAAGGAATCCTCACAGAGCTTCCGCTGAGGGGGTGGACTGGGTGCAGTTTGGCAATGTCTACGTAAAGGATTGCCAAATCTTTGTCTGCGTTGACGCTCTGCAGTTGTGACAAAGCGGACGTGCCACAAACGTCAGGCGGATCCACTCGCAATGCATCCGAGGACAGTGGCGAAGCCTCCGAGAAAAGTGCTGAAGCCCGTGGTGTCCATCTGGATGTGTCGAGTGACTGGATCAACAGCCAATAGGACACGATGCTATGCGATTGAGGATGCCAGGGATCTGGTGGAGTCATCGAGCTCCAGGAACGCAAGTCTACCTGGCGAAGCGTTGACTCAAACAAGTCATCTTGTTCGATTTTGACCAGCTGGCCAACAGGGCAACAGACGACTGTCTGGGCGAGTCTGCTTGGGTCGTGAATCTTAGGGAGTACTCGAACTAAGGCTTTGATGTGAGGCAAGGCTAGCTGCCAGTCATAGACCAAGCGAACCAAAGTGACGGCATCTCCCTGCGCCATGAAAGCCTGGCAGCGTGCCTCGGCTGGCTTGAAGAGATGCTCATGATGGGATGCGATGACTGGAGGAGACCCGAAGGTCACAAGGCGAACCTGACCTGCGACTAAACATTCACGATCGCATGCGTGACAAACGTGGGCAATATTTGTGTGAGTCCTGGTTTCTCGGCTCTGTCATGCACCTCTCTGTACGGCGGTGCTAGACCGTGCGAACCGAGCTGAGCCGGCTTGCATCATCACTCACATTTGCTCATGAGAATCGCGTATTGATTCCAAAGCAGCCTCAACACCAGCGAGGCGATCGCACCACCCGAGGAGTGTCCAGTGACCAGCAACGCTGTTGGCGTGTCTGCATCAGAGCAAGCGCTACGAATGAGAGATGCCACCCGGTCCACGATCTTCGCCGCAGCACCCATAAAACGGCGGTGCACGAGCATCGGCTGACCTCGCGGATGCAAAAGCGGGCTCTCGATGATGTCCACGGGCTGAAAGGTCTTCATTTCGGCGCCGGATCTTCCATCCACCGCATTGAAGATGTGTTCCTCTTTTAGATCTTCTGGCAGATCGAGCCCCACGACAGCAACGCTCAGAGTGACCTTGGCCTCCGTCTCGCTGTGACTAGAAGACGCTTCGGCGTGCTGGTGCTCGAAAAGGGCGATGCGACTGACTTGCGCGTCATCAGACGAGCTCTGTGTGAGATCATCGACGACTTTGGGTGCAGCAACGCCGGGCCGACCAGGGTGGCGCAATGTGATGGGCACTTCAGGTTGATATGCCCGAACAGCGCACTCGATGGCCAGAGAAATTTCGGTGTTGACATTGGTAAGAGCCTCTTCCTTCAAATCGTTTCCCACGGCGATATCGGCCTGCGAAGGTCGTTGAGCTTCGTCGTCCAAGAATTTGTAAGCCCCAGGTATCCCGAGCTTCTCAGTGATCTCGGGAAAAGCGTAAGTAGAGTCTGTGTTGAAGCTGTAGCTGTTCGAGGCGTCGTTAGAGTCAGGGTGAAGGTCCGGCAGGGAAGACCACGCTCGATCATGATCGTTGGCGCTGATGAAGTTTTGCTGCGTTCCTCGCGCAGCTGCCAAGACCCTCAGGTCCGGAAGAGAAGACCAAGGCCGATTCATGGCGCTGGCGAGATGGAGAGGCCGAATTGCTTGAAGATCGCTCACCAGCGCACGTCAGCAATGGGCTTTGTGGTCGATGATGAAAGGTAAGGCAGAGAGAAGAGGGAGCCGCGTCTCCTTTGAGTCAGAGTCACAGTGATGGACGGATGGGTGGATGGATGGATGGATGGGCCGTGGATGTATGGATGGATGAATGGATAGATGAATGCACGGACGGATGATCGATGAATAGACGGATGGATCGATGAATGGATGGATCGGTGGATGAATGGATGGATGAATGCACGGATGCATGGATGCAGGTAGAGTTGCGAGTCTAACGGACGCAATTCTGGATCTTGAGTTGGGTGGATGTCTACTTGACCCCGGATCAAGACTGATCACAGGATCGCGAATTACAATTGAGCAGAGCGTGGATAAAATTCATTACCACAAGAGACTCATCGGTAATAGATTTGGCTAGGTATGATTCACTACGACCAGTCAGCTTTCAAAGTGGCTTAGCTCACAGATGCTTGAAGATGAGAGTACTACAGTAGAAGACATAAAAAATAAGAGTACAAGCGGGCAGTTGAGTGCTACGATCAGAGTAGAGTCAAAAGTAGCCTCCGTGTCGTACAGCATATAATCACAAATCAAGTAGTGTCACGTGGATCGTGAACTTGACTTGCGAATTGGATGCTGGCTGTCAACATCTTTGATTCAAAATTATTCACGAATTACGACTCAAGTTTCACAATTCATGATTCAAAATCATAAATTCTGATTATTATTCAGAATATGCATGGACATGCGGTCGCGTCATACCTATTGATGACTCTTGTGCATTTCAAAAACTACAACATCCGGCGCGCGCGCGCGCTTCTCGCCGGGGTTCGTGTAGCCGCCCGATCGCACCCATTCTTGATTGATTCCGCTCTCTTCGTACATCTGGCATGCGGGCGCGAGGGAGGGGGGGGGCAATTAATGGTTGGCGGTGCTGTAGCCAGATCTGCTGATGACCCGCGAAAAAGGTCCACGCTGACTTTGCAGACCACGGGACGAGGGTGAAGCTGATACAATTCCGTGCCACCCAGATTGACAATGTTGCATCGACGTGGTAAAGATCTATTTTGGCACCTTGTGCATCTTTACATTCCGCTCCACCCCACATTGTGCGCAGCTACATTTGCAGAATCTCAGGCTCGATCCTATTCCTTCAGGTCTCCGACATCTTGCGCTGAATTTGGACTTATGGCATTGGGTGCGCAAACGAGCGAGAGAGGTAAAGAATACAGGAGGGGCTGAAACGACTGAGCAAAACAAAGCATCGCTTCATCCGAATGTGACAGTGCCTCTGCCAGCTCTCTTGACCTTGGAGATACGCCAAGCGTCTTGATGCTCCGCGTACTTGTCGAACAAGGGCTGCACCTTCTCTGCGCGCTTGCGCTTCGAGATCTGAGACGGGTCCGCTTGACGAAAGTATCTCGGCGCGACTTCGACGAGCCACTTTGGCTCGATGGCGCAACATTCCCGCATGTACTCGCGCGTAGTCAACACGACCTCGTGATAGATGACCATCTCTGGAGCGCGGTTGAATAATGATGAAGAAGGGTGAATGTAGACCGTGCCGCCACCTTCTGCCAAGCACTTGTAGCCTTCCTGAGGGTCCTTCTTTGCAGCATTGCGGAAGAAGCCGGAGCAAATGGCGCGTCGCACTCGATTGAAATTCTTTCCACAGGATATGATATCGTGGGAGTAGCGATCCATGATACCGAGCAGCTGCTTTCGCACATCCTGCGCACGCCGCATAGATCTTCCTTGGACGAAGTTGTCCATACACCAAGGCAACGAAAATTTGGACGCAGCCCAACCATTGTAGACTGTCAGCAGAGTCAGATGGTCACCCTCGGGTTGGAAGACTGCAATGAGGGCGTGCGAGGGTGTCAGAGCGACTGCTGTGAGAGACCGTGTCTGGGCCGCACTTACACTTGGCCTTCTTCGCGTCCGCCTGAGCTTGCTTCTCCTTTGGCCGGTAGAAGACGTTCTGAACACTGAGCATAGCAATAATGCTCAAACACTCTTCAGAGCAGCCGAGATCGACGCTGGCAATGAGCATCTTGGCTTGCTGCGGCTCCATGGGAAAGTCTGCCATCTTTCGTCCGAGTCTTGTGAGCAGACCTTCATCGTCGAGCGCCGATAGAGCGTACAGGGCCTCGAGAGCAGTCAAGAGCGTCTGTGCTGGAGGGGGATCCATAAAGTCAAAGTTGATGAGATCATTGATACCCATGGCCTTCAGCATCAGGATGGTAGAAGCCAAATTCTGTCGCTGAATATCTGGAATGGGATTCGGTAGCATCTCGTTGCGGTACGCCGCTTCAGTGTAGAGACGGTAGCACTTTCCGGGTCCTGTTCGTCCTGCGCGACCAGCGCGCTGGCGTGCTTGAGCTTGGGAGATGGGCTGAAAATCGAAGTGCGTCAGCAGGGACAGACCGCAAGGCACATCAGCAGATGACTCACCGTGACAACCAGGCTGTCCATTCCGAGACGCGCGTCGTACGCATTTTGCTTGACGAATCCAGGGTCGATGACGTAGTATACACCATCGATGGTGATGCTGGTCTCCGCAATGTTCGTAGCCAGTACCACCTTTCGAGCACCCGGGGGTGCGGGTTCGAAAATGCGCGTCTGCATCTCCGAAGGCAAGGCAGAGTAGACGGGCAAGATGAGAAGCTCTGGCACACTCGGCCCAAGAGCTCGCATGCGCTCAAAGAGTATTTCACACGACGTGTCGATCTCCTCTTGACCGGTGAGGAAGACGAGGATGTCTCCAGGAGGCTCGGAGAGATGAATCTGCATCACGGTGATGAGCGCAGCGTCGAGGTAATCTGACTCGGGCTCCTTGGTGTAGAGCACCTCCACTTTATACGTTCTGCCTGGAATGGTGAAGATGGGGCAGTCGAAGAAGTAGCTCGAGAATTTCTCGGCATCTAATGTGGCAGAGGTGACAATCAGCTTCATCTCTGGCCGCCTCTTGAGGGTCTTCTTCAAAAGGCCGAACAGAACATCGGTGGCAATCGTTCGCTCGTGCGCTTCGTCGAGGACAATGACGGAGTATTGGCTTGCGTCTGGATCGATGAGACATTCACGCTGCAGCATACCGTCCGTCATGTACTTGATGCGCGTTTCGGGTGAGGTGCAGTCTGTGGCAACGAGTTGGACTGCATCAGTGCTGCAGACCCAGCTGATGCCGAAGAGACGACAACTCACCTTCAAAACGGATCGTATAGCCAACCTCTTGACCGACACGACATCCCACTTCCTCAGCCACGCGCTTGGCCACCGAAACAGCAGCGACACGACGCGGCTGCGTACAGCCAATCTTGCCCCTGTCCGCAAAGCCTTCCTCGGCAAGATACTGGCACATTTGCGTGGTCTTGCCTGAGCCCGTATCCCCGACGACGATGAGGACTTGATTCTGAGATGCGTGCAAGGGCAACCAAGGTCAGCGAGGACGCCGAGGGTTGTTGACCAAGCCAAACTCACATCCTTGATAGCCTGTATCAGCTCTTGTCGCAACTTGAAGATGGGGAGGCTCTGCCGTTGCTCCTGGATGCTAAGGCTGGTCACTTTGCCAAACGTGGTCGCCTTGTTGAAGGTCTCCTTTTTCCATGCAGGCTGGTCTGACGCTTTCTGCCCGAGAATTTCGCCCCGACGATCCATCGCAAAGGTCCTGTCGCCTTGCTGAGCCATTGGATCGTTCCATCCCGAAGACATGTCGCGAGCTTCAGCATCCGCCTCATCATTGATTTCTTGCTGTTTCAGCTCGCGTCGCTCCTTGGCCAAGGAAGCTCCGGCTAGTGCAGCACGATTCAGGGCGCCATCTGGCGCCTTGACGATCTTCACCGGCGACAACTCCAAGCTGGCGCCGGTCTGGCCGGCCAAGAAAGGCGCCTCGCGCTCATTGACTTCAATGTCCACCTCTTCGTCTGGGTTGTTCATGCCAGCGCGATTACTCGCAGGCGTGGCAAATGTCTCCTCTTCCATCAGTTCGGGATAATCGCTCGCTTTAGCAACGCCAGACGCGATGAGCTGCTTGAGCTCCCACCGCTCCGGGCTCGTCAGACGCTTGGCGGTGTTGCTGCCAGGCGCATCATCCTCGAATGATGGCGGCGCCTTGCCACCGTCCCCGCGACGACCCAGCGGTGCCATATTGGATCCGGTCATGGCTCTTGCATTGAGCTTTTCGCGTTCCGCTGCAAGCTCGTCCTCGGTCTTGAGACGTAGGTGCGGAGACAAGTCCTTGCCGGTGGCTTGATCGACATCCTTCATGCTCAGACCGAGCCTGTTGCCAGCCACAGACATGACTTTGACTTTGACCGGCTGTCCGCGAGACAGGGCTTCCGAAGGGTGGGTGAGCCGCGAGCCTCCGATGGAGCCAATGTGCACCATGCCCTCGTGACGACCCTGCACGCCCTCGAGTGAGACAAAAGCACCAAAGTCCTTCATGCCGCTGACTTTGCCACTGTAAATCTTGTACAGCACAGGCTTGTCGTCGAGCGCCTGTCTGCCGTAGCCGCCTGGACCCTGCCTTGGCCTTTCGTCGCGTCCCCTCACGGGCGGCGGTGCGTCGTATCGATCGCCATTCCTGCGTGGCGGGCTGCGAGAGTCGCGTCTTTTGCCTGCATGGTAGTCAGGAGACTCTCGCTTGCCCCATCTCCTCTTTGGCGCATCCTCCTCTCCCCTGCCATTGCGATCAGCCAGCCTTTCCAAGTCGCGCATCGTGTCGTCCCTGCCAGCGCCGCCGCCGCCGAGCGCCTCTTTGCGTCGCTCCTCCTCCTCTTGCATTTTGAGCTGCGCGCGCCTCCTCTGCTCAATCTCCTCTTGGCTGTCCTCGCGAGGAGCTGCCCAACCAGAATCTGCGAGGGCTAAGCCGGGATACATGCGCCTCTGCCTCTCCTTTTCCGCATCCAACTGCTTCTCCTCTGCGCTCATCGACTCGGTCTTGTTGGAGCTGGAAGCGGGAGCAGGTGCGCCACCAGCCGCTGCGCTGCTCGACGCTGCGGCATTGCTCTTCTTGTGCTTTGGGTGCAGCGCCATGATGAGTCGATCCAATGATTGCACAAAAGAATCGGGAAAAGAAGCGCCGACGCCTTGAAGCGCCGCTTTGAACTCTGCCAGAGATCTGGCGTCATCGTGGAGGGAGAGGATGAACTCTGCGAGGACGCGGTCGTTGATGCCAGTGTGGTTCAGCAGCTCGTTGGAGATCTTGGACACCAGCGATAGCAGCTCCAGCCTGTAAATCTCATCCTGCTCAGACGGCATCTTTGATTTGCGGAGAAGGGTTTGTGGGTTCGAGCTGGAGAGAAAAGGTGAGTGCGGTGTGCGGAAGGAGCTCACTGCAGCACCAGACTGCGATGCGCGCAGCCTTGATCGATGCGGTGATGATGCTAAGTGAGCAGGGCAGACTTGTGACTCGTGCTGCAAAAGTGGCGAATGGAGGCGAGGGTGGCGGTGGCGGTGGTGTGCTTGCGAGTGCGGGAAGTGGGAGAGGCAAGTTGCGATTGATGAATGGAGATGCTAGTCAAGTCACAGTGTCGAATTGGTGACTGTGACTGTGACCGCGCAGCATCAACGCAGATCGGCAATGTGAATGTGAATGTGAATGTTGAATGTGCTGCACCCTACAAGCCTTTCCTTTGCATGCGCTTCGATCCACGACCACTTTTGCCATCCAAATTCGCAGCGCGGCGCGGCGGGCTCCAGAGCCTTGAGTCTTGAGTCGCATGTTTGAGTCAGTGGGGCGCGCGTGGGTATCACGTGACCTCGGCCCCTTTACACCTCACAAACTTTGAATTTGCCTCATTTCATTCTTGATTCACGATTCTTGATTCAAATCGTCTATTCACGATTCTGATTGAGCTCACTCACGACTCTCTAGTCAGTCATCGAAGGTCCGTCCTGTGCAATCCGCTTGATGAAGTCGAGCTCAAACTTAGTCAATCCGTGCTTATGGTTTGTAAGAAGTCTTGAGTGCAGCGCTACTAGTACTACTACTCATGACCGTACTCATCCACTCAAGACTACTCGAGACTGGACTGATCCACATTCAACCGTATGATTCACGTGATTCGACTACCGCATAAGAGAGGAAGAAGTCTCACGAGCTAGCCGCGTACCAAGCATCATGGCTCCTTCGAGCGTGTCTGCTCTGCCCTGCCCTGCCCTTCAACATATTCAAGATTTCCACTCACGACTCAAAGCTCGCACTCGCACTCGCGTGACTCGTGATGTCCATATCTGCCCGTGCCCGGCGCCACGAACGGCTGCGAAGGCGCGTCGTCGTCGATGATGATGATGATGATGATGATGATGAGTGAGCAAGCAGAACGCTGTGCGCGCGTGCGGATGCGCATGGGCTACGCGTACACGTATATACCCTGTGAGTGCCGAATGCGTATGTGGTGGGCGCCCAAATGCGCCAATGTGCATGCATGCATGACTGCAGGCAAGCAGAAATTAAGCATCTCGAGAAGCAGCCAGCAGCCGACACGCCGGACCGCGCGCGGACCTTGCTGCCATCAAGACTGGCAATGATTGCACTTCGGTGTGTTCAGATTGGTCTCTCATTCCACATTCCTCGCAGCAGCAGCAGCAGCAGCGGGTGATGGCTGAAGTCGTGAGTGGACGCTACGCTGAAGTTGATCGAGTCACGAGTCACGAGTGTACTCGTCTGAGACCCGCGGCGATGCACGCTGGATCGATCGATCAGAATTGGCCTGCCTGCCTATTGCTGCTGCGCCTCGATCCTAGCTGCTGCATGCTTCCACCTTGCCGCTGCGCGGGGGATGCTCTGCGTTGCTGCACGCCCTCCGCGGCTGCCGCATGACAGCTGCTGCGAGTCATGCACTCACGCACACGTACACGCACTCACGCACACGCACACGCACACGCACACGCACACGCACACGCACACGCACACGCACACGCACTCGCACTCGCACACGCACACGCTCACGCACTCACCAATCGTGAAATCGAATGATCGACATGTTTCGTGTCGCGGGCTTGGTTCCGATGGAGACAACCATCACCATCCCCTCGCCCCCCTTCACCTTCATTCCACCTTTGCCCCATTTGGGATCACCCTCGAGTGCCCAAGGGGGCCCGCGGTGACGACCCT